CTCCCTCTCCCTCTCCTCCCCTCAGCTGAGACAGCCCGCCCGTCGCCTGCCGCTGCTGTAACCTGGCGGCATCAGCCGCCACGACCAAACCTGAGTTAAAAGGACTCGCTGTGCCTTTGGCACACTCCAGAAAGGACCTTCCTCCCAGGAGTCAGCCTCGGTCTCGTGAGCCGCCTCAAACGTTTCAGAAAAGCCCCCAATTAATCCTCCCGCAAAAAATAAAGACACAATGGGAAGCCCTAATTGCACAAGTGCGACAGGTGACAACGGGCAGCAGGCAGGACAGGACGCTCGCGGTTCTTTAACACGTATTTGTAGCACTAGCTGCTATTTCTGCCATTAGCGGGCTGACAACTCTTTCTAAACAACAGTTACTACTTCAAGAATTTCCAGATCCCTCCCGTCCTATGGGAGATACGTGCTCCTTCAGGCCACGGGAAGATGCCAGGGAGGAGCTGGAAGCGATTTATTGCCAGTCTCTAAACCGCGGTGCTGACGTGAGAGCGACGGTGAGAGGAGTCTATTCCGACAGCCATAACGTTGCTCCAAATCACCTATAGTAACTTTTGCGACATTAAAAACTATATTTGACTGTTCGATTTTTTTTATATATTTTTTTCTTTTTTTTCTGATTACAAGTAGAAGTCAGCGATTCGACAACCAACGCAGGAATCCTTCCGAACAGCGGCCGACAAACAGAAACCAAGTGCCCTCCCTGGGCGTTCCAGGTGTCTCCAGGAGATGGCACACGGAGCCCTTGCACTTACGTCCTCATCTTCGCCTCTCCACCGGTCTCTAGCCACTGTACGATCTTCTCTGTTTTCACTTCGGGATGAGAAATTCACATCATCGAAATTCTAGCATAATTTAACGATTCATTTAAAACTACTGGGATAGGGTAAGCCTGAATTAATAAAATCGGTACTAACAACTCAAAAGGAGGAACAGACTTTGTGACAATTCCACAAGTTCCAATGTGACTTGAAATTTATTAACATTAAACCCTCAATTATATGAATATCCATGTTTTAAAATTGCAATGTGCAGAACTAGTAGTTCACTTGTATTCAACTAATCTTGCAGTGGACTAGCCAGCAAGCCAGCGTACATAAGAACACCTGATGAGTCCATAAACCCATCAAAGCTGATCCAGTAACTTTGAAACTTCATTCATGCAAGATAAACCCCAAAGATACCAATGCAATTAAGAAGAGTAAGGATTTTACACATGAGGAAGGACAGCAAGGTTGGACTACTGCTGCACCTACAGCAGTGGGCTTCCAGGTGTTAGGGCCCTTCTGAACAGAAGCATCTGCATGCTGAGGATCCATGGCATTTCTCGTATAAATTTTCCCTTTTTGCTGTGGCTGACCTGCTCTTCTCAAGCGTTCAGTCACTTCAGGAACTCTCAAGGACTGAGGATAGATCGTCAAGAGCTTTTAGCTGTCTAGATCCTTTTGGTTTCATTGGAAATCAGACTCAAGCTTTTTTGAGTGAGGGCTTTTAGCATTCAGAAGGCACTAATTTTTTTTTGTGCTTAATTACAATGTTACCTTCCAAGTTAGCACTGAGCTGAATGTGTAGCACATTCCTGATAATAATATATACACTAAAAGTATTCTGCCTTTTATTACTGCCTCATATTTAATTTCCAACTGTATGCGACCTTTCACTATCGAGTTAATGCAGCTCCTGAAAATACAGCTTTATTCTTCCTCCGGCAATAAATCTGAGGCACTGACAATTTTACAGTAGTAACTGGGCAAGATTATTTTAATTACTACCAAGCCACACCTCTTTTTTTTTCTTTCATCCCATCCCGTACATTCCAACTTCATGTTAGACTGCCAATCCGAGCACAAAATTCATATTGAAAAAATGGAAGATACGCTTCTCTGCTATCAAAATGGTGCTACCACTCTATTTTTAGTGTGGCACATACATATGTTTTATGACAATTACAATACATTTTTCTGCTTTCTTAATATTGCCTTTAAAAGTAGACAACTGTACTCAAATTAGTAATAGGAAAGCCTTTATTTAGTCCATAAGGATTCTATGATTTTTAAACATAGGCAGCAAAAATTATGTATCTTAGTTGGTATTTAAGGTCCTACTTGTATGGTTTCATTGATATTTTTAATATTTTCAACATATTATCTTACTGTACAGGTTCCTTACTGACACAGGTCTATGAATTTATTTCCATACTCAGTGACTGCAGTATCAGCCATAAGAGTCTTTTTTTACTCCACGTACCTACAGGTTTTAAGACTTGAGGACTACAGAACACTGCCCTGAAATATTCAGGTACTGGTGCTTTTTATTAAGGAAATGTATTTTGAAATCACTGTGGTTAAAAATGCTGTTACATATGTACTCCTGTCTTCAATACATCTTGCTAGCTAGAAAGTAAATCCTTTTATGGTATCTCTACATTTCTGGACAATTCTTCAAAGATCTTGATTGCCTGTTTGTGTTTTCCTTCCTTATTTACACAATAGCTTCACATTATGAAGAATATATTTGCTTCTGGGGCAGAAGTTGGGGACACCTTCTTTCTGTGTAATAAGTCATGTTCTGTCATGAGGTTACCATATAAGGATACAACACTTCTTTTTAAATTTACTTTGAATGGAAAAAAAAAAAACAAAACAGAATGGACAATTTCTATGTACGACTCACCTCATGGCTTAGTTCATTCAGTAGGAACAAAGCAGACAATCAAAGCAGTCAAATGCGTAAATAAAACCACCATTCTAGTTTGGAATATTCCTACCTTTTGTCCACCACCTTTCAGCTTTTCTTCTTCTGCAAGGATTTCAATTAATCTTCCCACGTTTGGTCTGGAAATCATTATTACTTAATATCATTATAACCTTTCTGACTGTTTAAATTCAATTCTCCCTTTGTATCGCAGAATAAATGATCCATGAGTGTAGCTAGAGAGAAGTTACTGTGGGCCTGAGCTTGAATGTATGTTCACTTGCCAGGATACTTGGCAGGGATGGAAGCATGTTTGCAAAGATTATTACTGTCTTGCAAGTTAAAAGCCATGATAACATAATTTTATACAGGATGCATTTGTACATACTTTTGTTTATTTGTCTTGCTTTTCTCAGAAGACTGTAAAGATAGGACTTGATTTCTTTCTTTCTTCTCAATATACTAATGTCTGTAAAAATCAGGCTTCTTTTAGGCCTGGTAGCATCAAATGTACATACTGCAAAACAGAATTAATCAGACGAGTCAAAGAACAACTGTTTTTTGTCTCCATAAATTCTGTTTCTGTGTTCTTGCTGGCTTTTATGAAGTCAAGAACCAAGGACCCTTCTGAATCTTTGGGGATTCTTCCTGAAAGCCACAAAACTATGATCACATTAATGATTGTCCTGTTACTTTATAGCATGTTCAGTATTTTTGTTTTACCAGAATTAGAGTGTATAAGAAGCAGAACAGCTTTTATGCTAGGGCCACTTCAAAAGAGAAGTTTTGGTAACAGTGTAGGCAAACAGAGTAGATTGGGCTTTTAACAGTATCTCTATCACAGCTGGTGACATCCAAACCTATTTAGCAAGAGAGAAAGTGTCCAAGAATTAAAGAGTTTCCGCTACACGATTAGGGTCTATGGATTTTTAATTTTCATGCAAAGAAGAAACAGGAAAACAAGGGAGAAACAGAAGTCGTTCACCAAAGTGAGATTTTTTTTTCTTTGATAGTTCTAGTTTGTGTCAGTTGAGAGTAAGATGAAATAAGATTGTCAGTAACTGGAAAATTAATTTATCCTTAACAAATAACCAGTGACACAATTCTGTTTTCCAGAATCCCTTAAATGGGTGAGTTTTCTGGCACAGACTAACATCCTGTATTCATCTCCTGAACTTAAGATTCTACAGGAAGGAATGGAGCTGGGTACTTCTCTGGTGTCCTATTATGATTTTTATTTCTTCTGTGTTTGGACAAAAATATTTTTCTCTTGTGTTAGAACAGGACTGAATCAATACAAGATGTTTTCTTCTATCACACATCAGTGTAATAAAGGAAATGCTTCTGTAACCTAACTTTATTCATTCTAATAGTCTTTTCAACCGCGCAAATGAGACCACTCAGTTGAGTAATGATTACTTAGAAATATTTGCAGATTCAGGCTCAAATTCAGAAACTGCAGTTGTTTAATATATGTCAGTTGTGAAGCAATGTTAATTTTTACACAAAAAATATTTTTAAAGAGCATTTGTATTCAAGCTGAAGTGATTGTGATGCAATTACAGATGTTTAAAAATATGTCTATCTCACAAATAAAATATTTGATTTACAGAAGCAGAATCAAAGAACAGTCTCAATCTGGTTAAGTGACAAACCAGTGCAACACTTTTCTTCATTTTGGATTATCAGTTAAAATAAACATTCTTTGATCTGATTACAGCAGATGGATGCAATTACATGCATATGAAAGTGCAACGCCCCTGGCTCAAGGAACTACAGAGTTAAGAGAGATGAAGGCAATTTTCTAATGGTACTATCCAGTACTGCTAAACCCACGTTTACCAGGGACTAACTAGACAGCTGCTGGAAAATAAGAGAAACTCCGGTCATGTTCTTAAAGATATTTAGCTACCTAAAGGTTTACATAATCAGCCACTGCAATGCTAAAAACATTTGCACATTTTATGACTGCTGAAATAACTGATGTTGCCAGAGGCTTCCCAGTAGGCATCAGTCCCTATTGTTCAGACACCTTCAGACACACCCACATGATGCCGTGCAGTGTGATACACAGATCCCAGATCCTTGACTGGGGTGGAACATGAGTCAACATTTCTGCTCAATATACTGCTAACTCTGGAAGCAGCATAGCTGTGTCAGAGCAGCATTGTGCCTGACCTAACAAGAGCTGCATTACATAGCTATACTGCTGGTGATTCTACACACAGCTGAAAGGAATTGCTGGTTTTCTGTATTATTTCCTTACACAAGGCACATGTGTCTGTCACAAAAAAGGGAACAGTTCCCCAGCTCATTTGAACCTACTGTATTGTCTTCAGTGTTTCAAACACAGCTGTTACAAATTTCCATTTGAAATTGAAATTTTGACCCAAATATAGTGACTTTTACTTGGACTTCGTTTTTACATGTTTAAAAAAGCAAATAGCTGAACCAGCTAGTATTACTGGCTATAAAGGAAACCATGGTGCCTCTTCAGTATTATCAGTCTGAATTTCTCTGTATTTGAAGTATTTTAATTTCCTTATGAAGACAATGTAAAAAATCGTAGCCCGTTCATGATACAAGTCAGAGACTGATTACAATGTTAAAATGCTCATCTCAAACAGAGCCAAAATTTAAAATGAGGTTACAGCTAATCTTACACATACGACAGGGAACATGTGTATGTTGTTTTGTAATGCCACTCTGGCTGCCAAGAACTCACAGCAAAATACTCTCTCAGGATTGTTTTTTTCTTGAGTTAGCTAAATAGGCTGAACAAATGCCAAGAAGTCTGGGCAAGGGCTTGTCTGGTTTGAGGTTTTATTGGCTTGTCCATTTCTAATCACAAATCAAGTAGAAAATAAGCACTTTACCTGGTAACATATTAAATCCCTAGTCCATGGAAAAGATCTTTAAGGGCAAGGGCTGCATGCTTTAGAAAACAATACAAAGTAGTTTATAACTGACCATAGACCATCTCAGAGGGATGTAGTAATGACAAAAGATAGATGCAAAAAGGGAGTCTTGGCTATGCACAATATTACAGTATATAAGGTTAAAAATAAAATAAAATAAATTGTTTAAAGGCCTCTAGGGACACATGAGGAAATCTCTTCAGAGTTGAAAGTCTTGTTGAGAGACCTACAAGGAAGCACTGAGCTTTTTATTCCCTCACAGTTGTGTAGCCCCTAGAAGAAACACTCCTTTTATACAAAGAAACATAGCCAGATTCTGTACTCAGTTTAGGTCTGTGTGACAACAAAGTTCAGAGAACCTGTTTTGGATTTCTGCAGCAGTAGCCCAGGAAGAGTCTGATCACACATGTGAGGGAGCTGTTAAGGAGCAACCACACTGAAATCAGTGTTCTCAGTTTTTTGCCTGACAGGAGATCGCTCTGCTGGAAATCAACCAAAAAGCATAATGGAATAATGTAATTGCCTTCAGTCCGCTTCAGGTTCTTGTACTGGCTGTGTGTTAGTTATGTAAATTCATCATTACCCAATATAGGAGTTTATGCATAAGATGGCCAGTATGTCTTATTTATAGGCTCTTGTTTTACACTGTATCTTAGTTACAGAAGTATCAGAAATGCTGAGTACACTACCTTTACACTTTCTGTTGCAGGAAGCATGAAACAGCCAAACCTTCCTTATTCCCAGTATCACTAAAAAGCAAGAGAGAAGCTGGAACGACTTAGCATTACCTTGGTGAGAAATGCCCGGGGAAAAGCAGAATTGCCTATCAGGGACAGGTACTGATACAAGAATAGCATCTTAGTTGTCCTCATTTCTAATTCACTCATGATTATGCCTTCACTATGACTCAGGAAGTAGTTTTAGCCCCACTTTATAGAAGGGCAATTGAACAAAAAGAATAAGTTACATCACCAAGGATGTCAAAATAAGGCATGAAGTGGGAAAGTGGTTAAACCCAGAGCAGACAAAGTCTGGCCCTGAAAATAAATAAATAAATAAATAGGGGAAAATGTAAACCAAGGTAGTATGGGAAAAGAGAGAGACTGAAATTCACAGCTAGCTCAACAATTAATATGAAATACTTTGACAAATATGAAATTAGAAGGAACATTGCAAAGTTTGAGGAATATATTATGTACGTACTTGCAGAAATCTGGCTTTGTGGACTAGATAGGGATATTTCAGAAATCTAAATAGAAATCATACAACTGAGAAATAGCTACTTTTACACACAAGGAAGTTGCAAAGTAAGACTGCTCAACATATGGAGGTTTGGGAGCCAGTTTGTAATCACAGCATTGCAAGGGAGCTGGAGCTATTTTTTATTAAGGCACAGAGAGGAACAAAGCAGAATTAAGATGGGTGGAAATGCCAGCTGCAGGAGGGAAACCAGCTGAGCTACAGCCTGTGTATTCTGACTTGCCATGCAGATTTCAGAAGCCCTTCCATATAAGCTCTGTGTGGTCCACTGAATTTAATTGATTTTAGTAGTGGAGCAGCTGCACTCTGTTTATACCCCTCCTAATGGTAGGCACCTCTCAATGCATAACAAATTTCCTATCAGAATACTTTCATCACCATATGACATTCATTCCACATATTTTCCATACATTTACAATTTCAAATAAAACTCCTCAGCTCTCCAAAATAAACAAACGCAAAAATTATGGTGTCCTGACATACTGCAATTTCCGACTTTCAATGCTCTGCTGATTTTTTTTTATCCGTTCCCCAACGTAACCATTCCCAATGCAGCATATTTTGAACTGGCTAGAACTGTCAACTTTACCTGCCTCAAATTGCAAATACATACAAATATATGTGTAAGACATAAATACTATACATGTATATATACACACACACATTCTCACACACAGATTTAGAGAGAGCAATAGTTTTCCAGAACATCACTCATCAGCGTTTTGCAATTTTAACATCACCTCACAGAAATCTTGAAAGACTAAGGGAAAAAGGGACACAGCTTCCTATTAAAATGGGTGCCAAAAGGCCTGCAAGTCTTTTGGGGGAGCACTGCATTCATAAAGAATTCGCTTTCAGAGTCCTGACCTTGAAGCAGAGGGGACAAAATTCACATGTTCTAAAAGCCTCTTTTCAGTAGGAGTCAGTTGGCCCCACACTTGGTAGGGGCAATAAAATATGGGAAGTTTGGGTG